AAAAAAAAAAAAAGAGCACATTGCAAACTTGTAAAATTTCAGTTTCCTCATCCATAAAATGGGAATGTGACCATCCATCTCCCAGGATTATTGTGAGATAATACAATGATCTATGTGTGTAAGTGTATGACATACAGGGGCTGGGAATATAGTAAATGTGAAAATTTTTAAAAGCTGAGCTGGGAGTGTAGCTCAGTGGTAGAGCATTGCATCTAGCATGTGTGAGGTCCTGGGTTTGATCCCCAGTCCCACAAAAATAAATAAATAAATAAATARRTWGRTWGATAGATAGATAGATAGATAGCTTACATAGCATGGTTTTAAGTGAATTTAGTTTAGTAAATAAATTCCCATCCATTAAAACAGGCCTCAAAATCATCCTGTGAGATACACAGCACAAGTATCAGAGTTCCTGCTTTACAGATGAGATTCCAGAATTAAAAGATGTCAAAAAGAACCTGCTACAGTCCCAAGACCAGTGGTGGAGCCAGACCTGGAATGCAGGTTACTGGTTTCCATTCCAATGATCATATTACCTTGTCTCAATTACCATACTGCCTTTAGAATTATTTTATTTTATTTTATTTATTTATTTATTTATTTTTTAATATTTATTTTTTAGTTCTTGGCGGACAGAACATCGTTGTTTGTATGTGGTGCTGAGGATCGAACCCGGGCCGCACGCATGCCAGGCGAGCGCGCTATCGCTTGAGCCACATCCCCAGCCCCTAGAATTATTTTAAAAGACAACAAAATTACAGTTTAAAACTTAAATTCTAATAATATGACTTTTTTCATGAAAAAAATGTATTTTTTTTGTATTTTTAAGAGAAATCCTTTTTGACAGATAACTCATTTATTTATTTTTAATATCTGACATGAACAATTTAGAAGTAAAAAAAATTGTTTTGGTCAGCTGACTCTACTGCTATGGGTCCATGGGGAGGTAGACATCATGGTAGAAGGGTATGGCAGAGGAAAGCTACTCAGCTCATGATAGTTGGGAAGCAGAGGTAGATAACTCATTTTATTTTTTCTGTGTTGGGGATTAAGCCCAGGGCCTCAAACATGCTAGGCAAATGCTCAACCACTGAGCTCCACTCCCAATCCCATAGCTGTATTTAATATATGAATTATATATGCATCTAGGTTGCAAAGAAAGTGGAAGATGTGTGGAAGTTTATATTTTTAAAWTTTTTTTTTCACAGTTATTACATATGCATCTAGATTGCAAAGAAAATGGGAGATGTGTAGAAGTTTTTATTTTTTAAAATTTTTTCCCAATTATACTTTAGAGAAATTCTGTTTTGTTTTTAATATATACATATATATTTTAATTATAGATAGACCT